TTTTTTTTTTTAAATGCACGTCTGTCTCCATTCGCGAGAAACACGGTCGGGGGGGGAGGGGGGAGAGGGAGAAAAAAACGGGTCGTATTCGAGTATTGATCAGAAGTCGACTCGGTACTCGAGCGTTGTATCAACGGTAATTGAATTTCAGCGTTGCACGCTGTCAATCAATTATATTTCAAATGGGGGGAGGGGGGAGGGGGGGTGGGAGAAAATCGAAGGGAGGAACATTGAAAAAAAAGAGAGAGAGAGAGGAGGGGGGAGTCGAAGCAATCGCTAAATATATATAATCTGACGAAAGCGGTCGCGCAAACAGCGCGTGCTATTTGACGTCAATCATTTTGAAAGTAAATTGCACCGTTAGCAAAAATGAATTCGCCCGGCTGCCATATTCGTTTCGCCGGCCGAATTTTCGTTAGAGAGAGAGAGAGGAGGGGAAAAAGAAGAAAAAAAAATAGGGGAAAAAAAAGAAGGATGAAACGGGGGAAGGGATGTGAAAAGCGATTGAAACGGAAAGCTCGATCGATCGGCTCTAAAGGAGGAACAATCGAATCGGTTGTTCGACGTTTAACGTAAACGTATTTGCAACCGTGCCAAACAAGCCGGTGAACTTCCAATTTCTCTCGTCGCTTCATGATCTTCGGCGATTGAACAACGCGTCGAGTAACGTAACTCGTGATATTGGAAATCGCGGAATGCGTTTCGTAGGCGTACGCCGACCAGGCATCGCTGGAAATCGAGTAACTAAAATCAAGCAAATTAGCTTTGTAGCCGCGAGTTGACTCGAGATCCCACCCAAAGACGCGGCGAACGCATTGAATTAGCCGCGTAATTTGCCGCGAAGCGTATCCACGAACGTTGAAACTGATCACCTTAAGTAATGATACGTGTTCAGATGGCATGAAGTCGTGATACTCGTATTAAAACATGTATGACTAAGCGCAGATACTCTCCCCGTAACGGGGTACACCGCACGATAATCACACGTGTAGATTATTATTCGTCAAAAATTCAGTCGGTTCTTCCATTAGCTATTAATAACATTGTTTTTTTTTTTTCAAACTCTCTTTGAGTGTTTAACGCGTAACGTAGTATAAGGACAGTGCATTGAACCAGTCCAGGAAGGAACGCACTTCGCGGTTAATGGAAAGGCATTGAATTGAAATTTTTTCCCACTAACCCAAACAAAACGCGATTCCATTTACGAAAATAAGTCGTGAGATTGAATGGAAAACTGTATAAAATATATGGAAAAAATATTAAAACGAGACAGAATATTTGCAAGTCGTGGTTTCCTTTGAAATTCAACACGTTCGAGGCGGTGTCGGTCCGTAGGGACCGACGCCTCGCTGCTCGTTTGGCCGATGTCGGTCCCGCGGGACCGACGCTTGCCGTGTTCGTTTGACCGGACACTTTAGTCGGATGCGTGTCCAGTCTGACAGATACACTTGATTTTTATTCATATAAAAAAAAAACATGTAAAAAAACTATAATTTACAGAACATAAAAAACACACTTTCGACTCCGTCTCGAACGTGTTGAATAAACAATGAAATATCTAATAAATAAATAATAAATAGAAATAAAGATATAAATAGAAATAAATAAATAATAAAATATGAATGATATACAGGACACTCGAATACAACGATATTTAGACCAATTCTTTATATTTATTCACAGATGTACGATCCACAGAGTCCAATTACTTGCGACGATCATTTACGATCAATTTGAACAGTGAAACGAATAAAATAAAAATAAAGAAGAGAGAGATTTGCGAACAGTAATTAGCAAGGTCAGCAACCTCTGGGCGTTCTCGTTCGCGAGGACTTGGAAGCCGAGAGATCGAGGGGTAAGTGATGGATGCCGTAGGACGACGTGATGTACACACAATGAAATTGAAACCAAGTGACGTTTCGATAGAGCGAATTTTCTCTTTTTTTTTTTTTTTTTCCACCAGGAACAAAATCCACCGATCCACCGGTGGATCGTCAAGCAGACGAACGAAAACAAAGAGAATCAAGGGGAGGCACAGACAAAACACTTAAAGAAGAACTATTCTCTGAGCCGAGCCTGTTTGTTTCTTAGTCCGCGCGGACGAGGGACGTGAACATGGCCTGTTACCAAGCGTACAACGAATCCCGACGCGACATCGTACGTTGTTGTAATGTTCGCCCGACCTGGCCGGACAAAACCCCTGCGTCGATCCGAGAATTCATTCCTTTCGTATTTGTGAGTAACGTAAATGATTTACGTTCGAGAAAGGGAAAGCACAGCAACTAAAGGTAATACAAGTATCATCGTTCGAAAGTATCCGGACACGCTGTGTGTGTGTGTGTGTGTGTGTGTGTGTGTGTGTGTGTGT